ACAGCCCACATGGGGAGTATTTCACAATCAGATGGGTGTCAATTGCAGAGCTGCAATCATTTGTTATATCACAACCTCAAAAACCACATATGTAATACTGGGAGAGAAATATAAGGCATAGAAGGATCCCTGTGGTTTTTGCTGCATTCCGACCTTATGTTGTATGTCCTGGTGTCAATTATTGTGAGAACTAATGGGTGGTCACATAGGGCTTGTACTTAAATTATGCTTAACATGGATATGAGAAAGGGGGTTATGAGAAAGCACAGCCAAAGCATAACATAGGGAAGGGAAGGGAGATATTGGAGTTACATTACTCAGGTTGCCCCTATGCTAAAATCCTTAATAACAGCTTAAATTCTAAAGCTGGATGCTGTTGGATGCCTCTTGTGGCAAAGAACATATCCCTTGTCTGTGTCTGATATCTAGCCCAACTAGAGGCCAACAAGATGCTACTATTTAGAGGCAGTGTGCTTAACACATTGCAACCAGGGGTCTTCCCCAGAATGCCTAGTTTGCAACCCAGGGGAGGAAGGGTTGTCAGAGTTTATAGGTGTACCTGAAGTTATTGACCACCCCTTCACAGCTAAAAGCAAGTATCATAGCCCACACCTTGAAGTGCTTGGTTTGGTGCACAATCACTACAAATTTCAGCATGTAGAGGAAATATTTCAAGAAATCATGATGCTGGGTTGAAAAAATAAATTTTGGCAAAGTAGCTACAAAAACATTTCTTATGAAAATACAAACTTCTATGCAAATTGTCCAGGCTGAGATATGCACACACATGAGAGGTTCAACAAGCCAACCAGGCATATCAAGTAGGCATCCTTTGCAATAAATGGATTTTTGACAGACAGAATAAGAGCTGAAACACCATGTAACACCTGCATTGTATGTCTGCGGGTATCAGATGAAGTAGGCTAGCAAGAAAAAAATTTTCAAATGTCGCACATAGGATCATAAATCATAATAGAAATAGCTTACCAGTGTATGTGGACTGTGAGAGTCCATACACGCCGGCTCCAGCGACGCCAAGAAGTTTTAGACCTAGGCCGAGACCCTTAGGGGCTTTACCCAGCTGCCCTGCCAAGTTATTCATATTAAATGCGTGTTAATCCGGCACCAAAAACGCCAACGCAATTGCAGCACACACAAACAGAGCACCTCTGCCTGAAATGACTAGGACGCCGCAAGCAGACCGTGGGGGACGCTGTCCGCGTAAGCCGCTAGGTAATAAACGGTTGTTCTCGGCGATGGAAACACGGCAAAAGTCCACACTGCGGCGATAGCTGCGCGTACCACATGTCACAAATTATTACGTCTACTATACGCCAGAAATGTATGAACACCCAAATCTGTTTTTTAAGAAAATAACAAATGGCAAGAAAAGTTGAATCTAAAATCATTTTATGAAAGGTTTCGGAGCGTCACGCATCTCCACGGGTGTCGATTCGTATTCTTATGTGAGGACCCTGTCCCCTGATGTTGAGTTGGGCCCCTTAATGTTGGCTTGCCCCCCCCCCCCTCCACTGTTTTTGACTGAAATACTGCAAAAGACGTTGGAAAAAAGATAATCACGACTCAAAGACTACCTTCTTCGATCTTGCTGCGTAGTGGCGTCTCGTACCGTTCTCACAACAGAAAGTCACGTTTGCTCTCACCACAAGATAAAAATCGCAGCCGCTGATCAAATAAACGATGCAATCAACTTCACATACCTAGCGCCATAAGAGACGCAGTGGTTTGTGAGGTTGAAGTGAAAAGCTATGGAATATCGGGATGGCCAAGTCCTTCATGGCTAACCCCGTCCCTGTCCCCCACGACCAAAATGCGTGCCGCCTCCCATTACCGTCATGGAAGAGCGGCATTGGCGCCCGAGGTGGCCTCACGTGCCGTGCCTTCACGTGCCTTCACGTGCCGATCAGAAAAGACGCATGCGCCCAGTGCCTGCTCCCTGGATCCTACCCTGCATGGCTTCTATACTGCTTAAAGACTTTTATAAATAATTCAATGATCAAAACATATGCTGCGTTTAATCAAAACAAAGTAGGCTAAATTCAGTGAGAAAAAACAGAGGGGTAGGTTGTCGGGGTTCGGTTAAGCCCCACCCCACGCACCCAATAATTTAAAAGAATTGACACCCCTGCGCATCTCATACCGAAACTAACGGTTGAAACAAAGTGTTTATGTAGCATGGCAGGGTCCAGAAGTCCACCTTTGTGGATGGTCTGGATCCGGCCGCGCTATATGGATACTGACATTTTGGGACTGGTTTATGCAGTTGGTGCAAGGCTGCATATATTTATAATAGCACTAGATGGGCAACACCGTAGATATATCTATTGGCAAAACCTATGTTAAATTACTAGCAAAAGTGAGCAATCCAAACGGGGCTTCAGCTCTGAGGAGGTGAACGAATGCGGCGGCCCGGAAAAGACGCTCATATTCGAAAGCAACCATTGGGATTGCGTGCATCAGGTAGCGCTGGTATAGAGCTATCATCTGCAAAATCATCACACTGGTCAGATTTAAACTCCACTTTTTCGGTACACCTTTTGACAGCTTATCCCTCAGTGCTGGGGGATGGTTTGGGAATCGATTTCCAATGCTACGGTGTCCAGTTTGATAGTCGATGCCGGTCGAAAATTTATTGAACAATTTATTGAACGACAATTTATTATAATTGATCAAGAAATGTTTGCCCCCTAGAACCATGATGGGAACCGGTGAACTTGTCACGGTGTTTTTAGAGAATCCCAAAGCGCTTGGCAACAGGCCGCAAGATCTGTGTTGTCCCAATTTCAGGACACCTACAAAATAAAAGCCTGCCTTCGATCGTAAAAGTGCTTGCGTATTCTTCCTTTGATGCTGGTGAGCAGTATTTCGGCCACGTTCCCTCGGGCATGCGAAAAATCAACGCATGACCCGTTGTTCATGCTTTTGATGCCAAGTGAGGGAAGTCGGCGTAACTGAGCTTTTAACCAGAAAATGATCCTCCACAGCATTCATCTCATGAACTCTCGTTACCAGCCTGCCGTTGCGGTCGTCTGCCGGGGCCGGTTCGCCGAGTCATACCGCGTCCGGTCCTGGGGCGGTGTGATGGCGCCATCTGACCTCTGGCCGTCCTGGCCTCCAGCTGGTCGGTTAGATTTCCCTCCCCTCCCCCCCCCCCCCCATGATGTCTCAGCGAGGCTCGCTCGGGTCTTGGACAACACCACTGCAGGACCCGCCGTCGAGGTGCCCCTCCCCATACCACGTTCCGCCCTGGGGCGGTACTGTGGCATCAGCTGACTTCTGACCGGCTCGGTCCCCGGATGGTCGGCTGGATTCCACTTCCGCGGCGACACGGCCGCCCTCTAGGGAAATGCGAAATCGTTGATCGGGGCGCCATCACAGTCGCGCGCGGAGGGCTTATGGTGAGCATTTGATGACACCGGAGGAGGGCTATCACCCGGCACCACAATATCATTGTCGGTCAACGACACTCATTTTATTAGCGTGACCCCCTGACAGCAAATCAGTCCATTTTTTAGGCCAGACTGGAGCGTGTATTTCTAAAGACACAGCTGTCATTCAGATATGCTTCTTATCGTGCGAGGAGGTTGCGACTGTGCGTGTATTTGGTAGCATTGTGGGAGGACTACCAGCTCGCAATATAGCATGGTTTCGGCCGAAGAAACCTACTGTATTGACTGTCGTCCAAATTACTTACTTCATTATCATTCAAAATACCTATTATAACCTTTTTTATTCAACCTAATATTACCTTTTCATAAAATGGTCTTGCGGAGAGGGTATGGCCGTGTGTATTCGCTACCTCAGCGAGAGCGCAACATCATTGTCAGCCGACGGTGCTTATTTTATTGCAAGTACCCTCTTACTGAGCTTCACTAAATGTTGACAAGCAGTCTGAAGCAACGTTTACAAAAATGCGCAGTCACTTAAAAATGCTATATTGTTGCTGAGTGTGTGACCGAATGCATTTTATAGCACCGAGAGGGTCATTAGCTGGCACCGTTACACCGTGTTCCGCCTAAGACGCCTATCCTTTGGTACAATCTCATTTGTGTGACATCTTTTGTATGATATCATTGTCGGTCACGCGAAGATTAGGAGTGAATTCCGACATGCGGCATCGTTTTATAAAACACTTATTTTCCGTGCGGAGGGTGACACTGCGCACGTGCACATACGGAGGGTTATCACGCTGCAACGAATCGTCTTTGGCGGCCGACCGCAACCATTGCAAAGATATGGCAGCTATCCAAAATACTTCAATTCGTGCGCGACCGTGAACATTTAATAGTACTGTGGAAGTGCTATCAGCTGGCACCGTTACATGGTATTGAGCCGACAACATACCTGGCCCTGCTATTGACATGGCATTTGATTGGTATGGTCGCACGCCCCTGCCCGCTGCGGTCGAGGCGGCGGCCTTCGACTGCGCGTGTTCGGACGGCAGTCCACGGCGGCGGGTCAGGTCGGCCCGGTAGCTAGCTGTGACCGGTCCGATCAGCTGACTGGCGGCTGACGGACCCGCATCGCCCGCCGCCCTGGGAGTCTTCACGTACGCCGGGGCCGGGGGCCGGCGTCGCGGTGAGCTTCAACTGGCGCCTGACGATCTGCGCTGTAAGGCAGCGCAGCAGACCGGGGCGCATCACGATGGCGGCGCAGTGTACACTCGGGAGTCACGGTTCGTACCGTTCACTCCGCCTCGAGGATCACTCCAAATGTCACGATGCGGCGACGGACCGGCCGGTCGGGCCCGGTCAGTGCCGCCGCGCGCCGGTCCCGCAGTCCAGCTTGCAACGTTGCACGTGGTCACTCTCACCGTGCCCGGTCACGCTTAGTCAGACACTCAACTTGCGCCACTCACCCGGATGAGGGGTCAACAATCACACGCCACCGGCTGTTCCACGGATAGTACCGCTGGGACCCGGCGAACGCTGTGAGGAGCCGCCCCGTGCGTCCCCGCCCCCTGGTGCCGCACAGCGAGCACAATCGACAACACAGTGTATTTTCATACAACATTGCATGTATATGATATGCGGTGAGAAACACCAATAACAAAACAGAACTTCCCGTTGCATACCAAATATGTACAGCCTGGTTATACGTGCGATCACTATCGAAGCCTCCGTGAAGATATGGATAAACAAAAATGTGATAAGATCCTCCTCCCTTGAAAGGGTCGTCAACAGCGTTCAATTAAATGCAGTCGCATGCATCATCATACACCAGATGCGAAGCCAAGCCAAGCACTGGACAGCTGCCAGGTGCGAATCTGAGCATCTTTCAGGGAAGAAACTCGTGATTCCCATTGCAGTTCTTCGGATTCCGCTTCTCTGTTTTGACCTTCTTCATGGTGCCTGGATCCAGACAATGTGGCATAATGCCTGGAAATGGCAGGACAATGATCGATTATTACTATAGTCACGCCAGATGTTAAACGTCACACCCCGGGTGCCAGCTCCACGAAAACTTGTGTAATCGCGAGAGCGGAAAATTGCAGTTTATTGTGGCGCATCCAACACGTAACGCACGAAACCAGCCCCACGGTGTAATTGTCCAGCGCCTTGGATTCCTCACGTGCCAGTACAAAGGTCCAACGGCATGCACGAGCTCAGAAAATTGTATTTCAGGATATTTCGGGTGTGACTGTAAACCGGCAAGCATTTAAGATGATCAAGTGATTGTTGAGGTACAAATCGACGCGGCATCGGGGATTGGGAGAGCGCGGCTCGGTCAGAAGGTCGCCGCGGTATCGGGGATTGGGAGAGCGCTGCTCGGTCAGAAGCTCTCCGTCAAAACGACGCATGCCGGCGTCCTGTGGCTCTGCATGCCGACCGGCTGTCTGGGAGGCGCGGTGCCGCGGTTTGAGGTCCTCCCGTGTTGGAGGTGGCGCTGAGGTGTCGTGAGTGCAGTACATGGGTCAAGGTCAATGTACGCTGGCCTCGCGCAAGTCGTGACCTCGGTGGTCGACTGGGTGAGAAGTTGGTGAGACAACTGGTGCTCCGCAAACGGGCTCTGACTCAGGGCCGGTGTGGGCTCTGAGTCAGATCCCAGACTGGATGACGTCGGTTCGCAGCGCCCGCGCCGCCGCCTCCGGGCGCTCCGGCCTGACGGCGTCACTGGGTCGGCGGGTCGGAACCCCTCAGCGCCAGTCGCACCAGCTCGGCACCACGCGAACCGGCGCACCCAGCCGCCGTCCCGGCCACTCACCCACAGAGGCGGTGTGGTCGCCCGAGCTGGGAATGAAGAAGCTCTGCACGCCGCACTTGCTGCAGAACGAGTGCTTCTGGTGGCTCGAGCCGAACGTGCTGAGCTGGCCGTGGCCGTTCAGCAGTATGAAACGGTCGGCCTCCACCAGGAAGTAGCGGCTCTGGCGCTTCTGGCAGGCGCTGCAGCTGTGGGGAGGCCGGACCGTTACTCGCCAGCTAATCCTGCAGCTGCCGGAGGATTGGACCGTCACTCGCCAGCTAATCCTGCAGCTGTCGGAGGATCGGACCGTCACCCGCCATCTAATCCTGCAGCTGTCGGAGGATCGGACCGTCACCCGCCATCTAATCCTGCAGCTGCCGAAGGATCGGACCGTCACCCGCCAGCTAATACTGCAGCTGCCGGAGGATTGGACCGTCACCCGCCAGCTAATCCTGCAGCCGTCCGTCACCCGCCAGCCAAACCTGCAGCTGCCGGAGGATCGGACCGTCACCCGCCAGCTCATCCTGCAGCTGCCGGAGGATCAGACCGTCACCCGCCAGCTAATCCTGCAGCTGCAAGAGGATTGGACCGTCACCGGCCAGCTAATCCTGCAGCTGCCGGAGGATCGGACCGTCACCCGCCAGTTGCGGTACAGCTGTGTGAGGTAATTGTTTATAATTGGTTGATAGCGAATAAAGCAGGCAGTGAAACGTTCCCAATGTTAAGCATATCTTGGTAGTCCCGTGAACATCTCGCCAGTTTCTGTCTGCCGTTAGCAAAGCCGATAAACTGAAGCCCGTGAACTTCTTGCTTACCGCAGTCGGCCACTGGCTCTCGAATCACGTCAAATAGGTCTGGCGCCTCTGCGGGCTGGCCTCCGCAGACACCGATTGACCTCGAGGTAACTGGACAGCTCGGCGAGCGTGAAATGGATGGGCACGACCTGTCGGGTGCCGTCACAACACTGTGACGTCATCACAGACTGCGGTGGTGGCGGCGCGAGCTCTCAGGCCGACCGGCCCCGTCCTCAGGCCCACAGCCGGTAGCGCGGGCGGGGCGGGCCGCACCGAATAACAGGGCTCGTGTCTGTACCGCTAAGACCACAGAGACAGGCTGGTTTTCAACTCAACGGAAGCACCGCAAGCGTGCAGTAACGAAAAGATTGGCGATGTTACAAAAAACCCTCTGGCGTACATATCAATGGCAATAGTTTGATCGTCCTAACAACAAACTACGTGATTCGATCCTGCTTATTCTACTATTTGTGCGTTTCAAGTTTCGTACCAACTTAGGCCCTTGCCTCGAAATGCTTGAAATAGTTTTGGAGTCTCAGGGCAGCCCTTTTGCACGCACACCCTCGCTGTCTCTTTCCTCCTATTCCGGAACATCCTTGCCTTTTTCCGCTGTGCTATTTGTGGCTTTCACGCGTCACTCCACAATAGAATATCAAAACATGCCGCATTAATTCACGCATGTTACTGCACTAGTTCCGGTGCGACATGCTTGGGCTGTCTAAGGTCGGTGGGTTCCCTGTTTACCAATGCCCCATTCACAATGGATGGTGTCCGTGACCACCCGCCGAACCACCACAGGTATGTCAGTAAACGAACCCATTATAACTCTGACCAATGTTATGATACCCACTGGAACGTCCTGTTCCCTGGTTCTGACCACTACTGTTACCTGGTTCTGACCGGTCCTGTCACCTGGTACTGACTTGTCCTGTTACCTGGTGCTGCTATCTGGTCCTTCTGGGCTGCACTGACCTGCATTCGATGACGGTGACCTGGACGGGGGCCGTGACCTCGAACCTGACCTGGCCGCAGTGGCAGCCGCCCTTGTGCTTCCTCAGACCCTGGGCCTCGATCATCTACAACCGAACAGCATCGCAGGGTGAGCACAGCGAGCGCCGTCCAGCCGCCAGACAAATCTTACGGCACCACGGACAGCCTGGTGTACGGTTCGGCGCATTGCAGCCACCAAAAAAGTACCTGAAAACCAACCTCCCTCACATGTCTCGCGTGCTATTTAATCCCAACCGTGAAGTGCAATTGGTAAGATTAGGGTTTGAGAGGTCACACTTTCGCTGGCAGCTAACTCTGTGCCTTTCGTTCCGATGTCAACAACAGAGCTGAAGAAGGCCGTCGAGCTGGAGCCCAGACATGCGGGGCGAGTTTTTGCGCAGGCACCCAGCCCGCAATGACGCCACGCAGTACACCACAGGTCATGCAGCGCGCGACAAACAGCGGCGCGAGCTTCGAAGGCGCGTGAGAGAAGCTGACAAACAGCGGCGCGAGCTTCGACAGCGCGCGAGAGAAGCCGACAAACAGCGGCGCGAGCTTCGACAGCGCGCGAGAGAAGCTGAAAAACAGCGGCGCGAGCTTCGACAGCGCGCGAGAGAAGCTGACAAACAGCGGCGCGAGTTTCGACGGCGCGCGAGAGAAGCTGACAAACAGCGGCGCGAGCTTCGACAGCGCGCGAGATAAGCTGACAAACAGCGGCGCGAGCTTCGACAGCGCGCGAGAAAAGCCGACAAACAGCGGCGCGAGCTTCGACAGCGCGCGAGAGAAGCCGACAAAAAGCGGCGCCGCACGCCGCCAGCTCTCCCGGAAGAGGTGAGGCTGGGGACGGCGGTGCTGACGTCGGGTCGGCGTGTTCACGGCCCGCCCCGGTCCGGCAGGCTCGTGCCACCCAGCGCGGACCGCGGGGCTGACGGCGACCTTGGTGTTGCGCCGCCGCACTACGCGCTGTGCGTGTGGAGCCGACCACGCGCCGGCCGCCGGTGAAAGCGGGCTTGTTTGAGAGCAGCCAGACCGTTATGTCACTGAGCGGCAGTGGGATGAGACGGACCTGTTGGCGGCTGCGGCCAGAGCGTGCGGAGCCTCCAGCGGCGGGACATGCCGGGGCGCGCTTGTCATGCACTGAATCACTGGGACACCACCCCGCCGGCCGCCCCGGCACGGCGGAACCGCGAGGCGGCCACGATTGGCTCCTCTGGCGTGACACAGCTCGGAGGGCGGGGCCCCGGGCGTGCAGGAACCGCTGGGTAACACCCCGGCAGGTGTGAGCGTGAGTCAGGCCGGACTCAGTCCCGATAATGCGCTCAAGAATTTGTGTTACCTGGACCAAAGTAAACCGATTCACTGTGCAGATGAGTCAGACCCGGACTAACCAGCTTGAACAAAAACAATGAAATCAAGACTATGCTGGGACTCGTGCCTAAGTGAACAATACTCGGACTTGGATCTGTCAATTTTAGAAACTTCAGGTGCTCACACAAATTCGATTCTCTTTCTAGTTTTAGTCATGACTGAATAGTAAATCGTAATGGTGTGTGTCCCGTTCATTACCTTTAACGTGGAGAATTGGGGAAGCGCTGCGACGTGGGCCGGGCTGTGTTGTGCACGGTGCTTCAGACTAAGTGGTTTATCTCGAGAGATTTTGGTTGAGTTTTCCAGTGAACGCATCGCGCCACACCCAGTATTGACCCCTTCGACAAGCCATGCCCTGGCTGGTGTGCTCTGACGGCTTCGGTGTTACGGTGTGGAACCCCGTTGTACCACCCTGAGGCCACCGATGACGCCACAGGCCGCGGCCCGGCCCTGGCCTGGGGTGGTGATCGGGGCAGGGGCTCGAGTGTGGTCGCGGGCGTCAGCGCGTGAAGGGGACTACGTGGCGACCCTCGACGGGAGTAATGATAAACTTGACCCTGATAACGCTGGCCGATGTGTGCCACTGGATCAAGCAAACAACTCGCCGATGATTAGGCCTGGCGGGGAGCAAAATGCGTTAATCAGTGATTGGTCTTAATGCTGTAAATAGTACTAAGTTCTGGCGCATGCGCAGCGGCAGCGTGGGTCGCAGGGCTGGTGGCTCCAAACATCGAGACGGACGGAGGAAGAGTTCCGGAGACAGTCGCAGATGGTTACAGGGCGGATGGCTCCAAAGGCCCGAATGGATGATTCTGAATATTTAGAGCGGACACTCACATAGTCTCGGGGCAGACAGTCCCAGAGTCTCAGGGCAGACAGTCACAGAGTCTCAGGGCAGACAGTCACAGAGTCTCAGGGCAGACAGTTCCAGAGTCCCAGAGCGGATAGTTCCAGAGTCTCGGGGCAGACAGTTCCAGAGTCTCAGGGCAGGCAGTTCCAGAGTTTCAGAGCGGACAGTTTCAGAGTCTCAGAACGGTCTGTTTCAGAGTTTCAAAGCAGGCGATTCCAGCCCCATCAGGACAGGTAGTCCCGAATCCCAAAGTATACGAGTGAGTGGTCCAAAAGTCCCATAATGCTCTGTCACGGCTCAGCCACGGAGTCCCAACGCAGGCGGTCTCAGGGCCCAGTGCGAACTCGCCACGGTCAAAAGGTCCTAGCGTATATTACTTCAAAGCCGCAGAGCGGACGGGTTTGGAAACCCAGGACATTCGGTAAAAAGTCCTCAGACAGATGGTTCCAGAGTCCCAGATTCCTAGCGCGGGCGGCTCAGGGTCCCGGCGTAGGCAGTCCTGAACTACCGGGACAGACGAACCAAGAGCTCTAGAGCGATGGTCACAGGGTTCCTGGACAGAAGGTTCCAGTGTCCCAGGAAAGACGGTTGTGAGTCCACGGCAGGCGGTCCCAGGGTTTCAGGACAGTCAATCACAATTCCAGAGACAGACAGACCCAGACTCTCAGAGCAGACAGTCGGAAAGTCCCGGGGCGGATGGGTCCTGAGCCTCGGGACACACTTTCCCAAAGTTCTGGGCCGGACTGCCCCAAAGTTCTGGGCCAGATTACGCCAAAGTTCTGGGCCAGACTACCCCAAAGTTCTGGCCCAGACTACCCCAAAGTTCTGGGCCAGGTTACCCCAAAACCCCAACTAGCAGGGCAGGCAGTCCAAAATCCCCGGGACAGAGAGACCCAGGTCCCGAGATCTCTGACCAGATGGCTCCAGAGTTCTCAGACGAACGTTCGAAAAGCTTCGGAGTGTATTTGCCCACGGTCCCTGCTCAGCCGATCCTGGGGTTCCTGGACAAGGGCCGTCCCATTGTGGACGGTTGCATAGGCTCACGGCAGACAGTGCCCGAGTCCGGACGGTCCCAGAGACCACGATAGACGGTCCCGGTCTCAGAGTGGATGATTTGTATTCTCAGAGTGGATGACCTCAAGGTCTCAAAACGGATGCTTCTCAGTACAGCTACAGTTAAGAAGTCCCGGGCAGACGGTGGCAAGGATTCCTGAAGTCGGACATTGGTGCCGTCTTGACGAGCATAAACACTTGCAATAAAAAACGTCGCGGCCAATAGGTTCAAAAAGGAATCCATCTGTATGAAGAAGGCATGAGAAGACACTCTTGACAGTGCATGCCTTGATACCACCCGTCTTTTGGACGGGCATATGGCGAACAGTATTTTTTAAACCTTGCACATACGACGTCCATGCTAATGTGGTTGAAGCGTTTGCTCTTTTGAGAAATTGAAGGGGTCTTATGGAGTGGAGTGAATACCTTATACATTATAGTGAAGACCTTATACCGTATGGAGTGGATGGTACTCACAGTAAGTTTCCACGGCGATGTTCATTTACGACAAGGCCCAAATGTGCAGACATTAGAGCTCTTCATGGATTTGACTCCACTGTAACGGAAAATCTCCACAAGGCAAGGACAAAGAGCGAATCTAAATTCTGACCAGCACAAGTAGACTGGGACGGACTGAAATGCTCAAAGGCAATTTAAAATGTAACTGTAACCACACCAGCCATATTCGACCGCCAGGGCATCTTGAAATATGGTGGATGGACAGGTGTTAAGTAGAACAAACTTGCATTTGAACAAATTAGGTGTGACTCGGTTTCGGGTCATGAACAAGAGGTTGCCTTTGGGGTAGTGGCGGAACTGGAGAATTGCGCGGGAGTAGGTCGTAAAAATACAACCCATGAGCAGCACTTATAGACATCCAATTGGTTCGTTCAAGGCGTCTGCTTCGGAGATGGTCATGAATGTATTTACATTCACTGCGAAAGTTTCAGGTCGACGCCGATGCAGCTCATGAAGCACAGGGCACATCAGGGAATCCGTTTAGCCAGTTTGATGTTTGACGTACTTCATTGTAAAAGATATCCATACCAGGAAGCTGAGGAGATCTCCTCACTGCACCCGCCTTGCGCTTGGAACGGTACGATGACAGCTTTATGGGCGGTTTTGCGCACGTGTGCGCACGTGTGCGTACGTGTGCGTATGTGTGCGTTTGAGTGCGCGCACATAAAAATGTTCCATACACCATCATTAGCACGAGCAGTCAAACCGCCATCGGAGACATCGAAATAAGACTTACACCCTCCATTACAAGAGTAGAACAACTTGCATTCCCTTTGTGGAAGACAACCTGACAAGAGATCAAAACCAACTAAAGCACGCCAATACGGAGACAGACGGAGATGTTCGTACCGATAGTGCCGGCTCCGTAGCTTCACCAATGTTGAAATGACTACGACATCTCTGTTACGATGTATGACTATACACCTGTTGGAGGGGCGCCAAACCAGCACGCGCGCAGAACAACCAAAATATTTTGTGCTCTGGCCTAACTGAAAGCACAGGGGACCCTGAAATTGTGTTCAAACAAACACTCCCCACAACTTTTTTGAGCTGTTCATATCAAAGAAAGAAGTATGCCGCACTTTAAACAACAGATAACCCTGGGACTATTTAGCTATCTCGTGACAAAATAGTGACGTATGTCAGGAGTTCAGCACGGGGCAAAAGAGGAAAGTAGACAGGCTGAGAGGTGATTCTGTACGTTGATTTGATGCTCCTATGTATACATAGCGCGCTCTTAATTCCGCATCGCAGAATATGTTAGAAATGTATCAATACATGCGTGTTTTGTGTTTTTTCAAGACGTGAAGAAGTCCGTTACCCTGCTATAAGTGCACATATTACCACAATTTAATCATTCAAAACTTAAAAAACAAGGATCGTGCGATGGCATTGCTCGTGTTGCCAGGCAACGTCCGAGTTCAGCTGACCGCAGGACCTCACCTGGAATATGTTGTAGTGCATGGCGTCACCCCCAGCCGCTCCTCGGAGCACTCCGCGCCGCCGAACGCTTCGCCGTGTTTTGTGTGACGCCGCTGAAGCGTCAGGCCGGCGACCGGCCTGCCCCTGGCGGCTGGTGGCGGCATTACAGTCCGCTGATGCCCGGTCGAATAGCGTTGCACGTGAAAGAAGGGGTGGCTATCGCGCCGTCAGTTTTAACATCCTTAAGGGTGTGCATCCTTCCAGAGTCCGGCCGCTCATAGCTCTGTATTCTGCGAATCCAGCCGCCCAAAGCTCCGTGTTCTGAGAGTTCGGTCTCCCACAGATCGGTGTTCTGAGAGTCCGGCTGCCCAAGTTCCGTGCTCTGCGAGTCCGGCCGCCGACAGCTCTGTATTCTGCGAGTCCGGCCGCCCACAGCTCCGCGTTTTGCGAGTCCGGCCGCCGACAGCTCGGTGTTCTGAGATTCCAGCCGCTGACAGCTCCGTGCTCTGCGAGTCCGGCCGCCGACAGCTCTGTATTCTGCGAGTTCGGCCACCGACAGCTCCGTGTTCTGAGAGTCCATCCGCCGATAGCTCGGTGCTCTGCGAGTCCGGCCGCCCACAGCTCCGCGTTCTGCGAGTCCGGCCGCCGACAGCTCGGTGGTCTGAGATTCCAGCCGCCGACAGCCCGGTGTTCTGCGAGCCCGGCCGCCTACAGCTCTGCGTCCTGGGAATCCAGCCACAGACAGCTCGATGTTATGCCACATGACAATAAGCATTTGCAGCTTTGCAGCTGGCTGCGTGCATGCAGCATTTGTTATCTGCATTGGTGCAACTTGTTCCATAATTCCTCAAAATGGTTCCTGTGCGTTTAAGAATATTTAAGGTAGTTAAAGAGCTCTATAATTTGCAGCACACCAGTGTTTGCTATTTGCAAGGCTCTACAACATGCGCAATGATTTTGAAAATGTGTTTTTGTGCAACGAATAATCTTGCAAGACCATTTATAATGTTTGTTTTCTTCTTTGATGCCCCTGTGATATTTCATGACAGTAGTGCCCAAGTGTTCATCCGAACTGACCGCTTTGCAACGCAACGAATACTTTGCTCAGTAGCGTGCTGCACCCCGTGCACCTTTCAGAACTATGTACAGTTGTGAGGCTGGCCAAAGCCCGGTGAGACACATAAGCAACTTCACTGCTCAAGGGAAGAACCGAGGTTGATGCAAGGATGTAACGACATTTGGAGGAGTTTGTGTGAGGGGAGAGGGAGTTCTTCCCGTGCTACAACTGCCTGACATGAGTCGGGTTATAATGCACCTTGCGAAGGATCTCGCCTATCACCCCCGTCACCATGTCTTAGATTTTAAGCATCGGCTGATTGGCGTTGTACGCGCATTCATCCTTCGTATTCCTAATCCATGAAAAAGAAAATAAGAAACTAATTATGCCCATAAGAATGTTATTCAGAGAACGCCTAGCTCCAGCACCAGCCAAATTATGTTCCTCGACACTCTGCTGACAGTAAAGAGCGGCAAACATACCATCAAGCTCTGCATCCAACCAGTGGTGGCACCAGTTATTTTGCCGTTCACAGCAGCCAACTCAGTGAAAACCAAAAGGGGTACTTCACACACAGCTGTTGAGGAAGCAGCGCCTTGCGTCCGACGGAGCAGCTGCCATCCGGGGATGGGCAAAAATAGAACATCTATTCGAATCAAAGGGATATCCACATAGGATGATGCAAAAGAGTAGATATCTAGCCAAATCATGCTCGAGACCCCCAGTGAAGACATCGACACACCCACGACACAAAATGATGGATGCCACATGCCTCAGTCTTCCGTTCACAGACGATTCTGTCAAGGAAGGCATCCTCAGCGATTAAAGCGTCAAGATTACGACAACACGTTGCCTGGAAGAGCCGCAACACGCTACCAAAATATTATATATATACATATATATATATATAATAAGTGTGTAATATATACACACACACACATATATATATATATATATATATATATATATATATATACAAACAGCAAAAACGTCTCGACCGAATTTGGATCGGGTATAGAGGTGACTGCACCCTTGTCACCAAAGGAAGCCTCATGTCATTGCGTGTTGCATATCGCCACATACTGCATAATTATTGCAAGAAAAGTGGCGCAAAAAGCTCTTAATAACGCATTTACCTTTTATTTTGAGGATCCGCGACGTGCAGCTCTAGCTTGGTATGAATGGCTAAATAATTATGCCGGTCATGAGTTTCTCCTGCAGTCTCTGCAATATTGCAATTGCAGCATGCTCATATATGTTGTTGAACATCAAATTCAAATAAGGGAATCCGACAGGCCTGTTCAGAAACCTTTTTCCAACACGATGTCTCCACGATAACAGCCGTCAAGCACATTGCCGTGCAACGCTTCGCAAACAGCAACTGGCGAACGCTCAATAACTAACTCACATAGCTCGATATCCATTTACTCATTTTTTGTAGTTCACGAAGCATCAAAGGGACGTCAGCAGCGTCAGTACTCATGCGGAGAATCTACCTTAGAGACTTGACACCCGGTGTGAGCGAGAGGTCTGGCCCAGCGGCCCAAGCGCCCTAAGAGAGATTGTGCCACATTTATATGGAGCTTTAAGCTAAAATGGCCGCCTTGAAGATCATTCGACGCAGTTCAAAGCCCTGCTCTCCTTAAGATCTGACACCCTCTAGTTTCTGAGCTAAACGCCCACGAAGATGTGCCGACTATTTCGTGCAGACCATTTCAAGGTTATTCAGGCGTGCATAACGTCATAGAAAATAATTCAAACCCTGACACTCCATTGGTCGTGTGGCGTTTAAGGCCAAAAAATAATATAACCGCCCAGTTGTTCATATCTAGTGCTCATGAGCACGGCTTAGAAACATAATGAACGTCAATCGACGCTCAATCAATGTTGCGCAGCCTGTGCAAGATTTGGTCATGATCGCGGTTTGTGTTAAATAATACAATACGTCGGACATGGGTGCTAGTTATTGCAGAGATAAAGCTTGCAATCGGGCAACTTGAGAAAAGCGCCACAACCGAGCACGTGAATACAAGTCAACACCTCGAACTCACGGATAATTATGCAAGAGCACCGAGAGAAATGGCTAAAACACGAACACATACCAATATTTGGTTCCACAAACACTTCCAGCACTGCCGCGGCCACTTCCCGGGAGACTGAAGTGCTATAAGTGAGTGCTAAGATGGCAAATTTTGCACGGCCAGTTTGGCAGCACCTTAACGTCATACAAACGTTCCAACACGAACGACGCGTTGATGAGCATATTTACTGAACACAAAATTGCATTGGCCAGAACAGTGGCTTCACTTGAATGTATCAAATAGTTATGCCTTGTAAGTGAGCTAATTTCATCATATCTGATGTTTGTCTCAATATCTCCAAATGTGGAACATTCTCACAGGTAATTGGGTCCACGCTGCAGCTTGACCGGGTGGATAACCTAATATATCTTGAGAGGGCAACTGAATTATGCTTGATATCGGCAAGCTGTTATACGGAAGCGAAAACTTCCCGCTAAGAAGCAGATGGTTAACACGTACTCGGGGCGGGGGGGGGGTCAGATTGACCCCGAGGTTTTTCCGGAGTGGTTTCTGAACGGCGGTGCGAAGCCGCGCCAAATTTTGCATAGCAGAAGACTATTGAATAGCGGATCGTTTGAACTTTTATTTTTAATTTCACCAGCAAATTAGTTTCCAAATTTGCTGGTGAGGCTCCAGCTCCTGCCCCAATTTTGAGAAGGAAGTGGGCAAAAGTCGCGGAGAAGTCCATATTTTCTGGTGGGGGCAGGTTAAGCCATTCTTCTCTATTCGCCTTCCCGCAAGCACACACTTTGTGAAACTGCGCTCCTGTGACGCCGGCCTGAGGGCGTCACTTCATCGACTTTGAGGAGGCCTGGACCCTCAAAACTGAGTAGAGTCCCTCCACCCACAATGGTCCTCTGAGCTTGCCTCTCCCCTCCCCGCCCACACCAAGATGTGCGGGCAGCATAAAGAAACATCGTGCCACGGAAATGACAGAAATAATGTCTGCACTGTCAGTGCTGGTACATGAGCACATCACTCAGTGTCACACTTATTTTTTACTGCAAAGTACACTGTAACCCTTTTCCCGCTGGCGTTATTGGACATGGTTCTGATAAGGCAACAAATCGGATATGTATGAAGACTAATATGAACAAAAGCGAGACCCACCGTTTTTCGTCAGGCCTCCCAAAAAACCCGGTGAAGTTTTATGAGCGGGCGTTCTTGTTTGATCATTATGTTCCTATCCCTCATTTTACGCTTGGGATCGTCGCTCCATGAGACACACGACAGGCATGAAATGACAAATACGTGTATGGCGGGTGAACAGAAAGACTTCCGGATCAGATTTATTGGCTTTTTTGTTAGACCACAGTGCATTCTTGGATTTCGCTCCTGCGCGTACTGTTTTACAAGCATCTCAGCGTTGTACAGCAATGCTACTACAACAGGGGTGGACTGTTATAATAAAATCACTGGCAGGTAGTATTCGTCCCCCGCTTAGACATTGCTTAGGTCAAAATTTTACTAAATTATTGTAGCGTTAAAAGGAAACTTACGAGGGGATGGAAAGGTACGGAATGAACGGTAAAGTACAGCATGACTAAGAAAACAATCATGTTCAGCTTGGAGCAATTCTTTTGGCAGGACCGACCCCTTTTTAAACATTTGTAACCGATTCCCTTTACCCTAAAAAAGTCAAATCTCACCCCCGTCTTTGTGAATTTTTACCTGAGCACCGTATTGGGCATGGATTGAACGGGTATTGTTCGCTGTAATTCCGGACAATGCTGTTTCGCGGACAGCTCAAAAGGCTTGGAGCAGATGTCATTTTTTAGTTCGGAGTTGTTCGACTATTGGGCCTGATATGTGTCTGGTTAGCCGTCTATAGCTTGGGAATTGCCGCATCGGAAAGAAGTGCATGCTGCATTTTCAAAAAAGAATTATAAAATAGAGCCATGCCAACACTTTCGAAAGTGAAATAATACGCCATAGTGCATCAA